CCCCAAAAAACAAAATGACGGGGGTTCACAAAGACATAGAGAACTGAATCTGTCACTGGCTGGCTCTGCTTGCCTCATATTCTGGAGCCTTGGGACTGAATATAACACAAGATAGAAGATACTAAGCACCTTAAGAGAGATAAAAAGTACAAAAGAAGTCTAGGAGAAAGAGAACTTAATTCCACTCAGGTACTTTGTATTTAAAGACAGTCTTGTCTACAAGAGGTGCTAGAACAACTGACATCCACATGCAAAAAAATGACCTTACACCCTTCACAAAAATTAACTCAAAATGGACCACGGATCTAAATGTAAAATGAAAAACTTTAACTCCTAGAAAATAACATAGACGAAAACCTAGATGGTCTTGAGTATGGCAATGACTTTTTAGATACAACACCAAAGGCACGATCCATGAAAGAAAAAAATACATAAGCTGGACTTCATTAAAATGAAAAACTGTCATTAAAAAACAGTTTCAAGAGGATGACAAGACAAGCCCCAGGTTGGGTGAAAATATTTGCAAAAGGCACATTGGATAAAGGACTGTTTTCCAAAATATACAAAGAACTCTTAAAATGCAACAATATAAAAACAAACAATCTGATTAAAAAATTGGGCCAAAGACCTTAATAGACACTTCAACAAAGAAGATATACAGATAGCAAATAAGCTGAACATCATATGTCACCAAGGAAACACAAATTAAAACGAGATACCACTACGCACCTATTTGAATGGCCAAAATCCAGAATACAGACAACACCAAATGCTGGTGAAAATGTGGAACAGCAGGAAGTCTCATTTATTGCTGGTGGGAATGTAACATGGTGTAACCACTTTGGAAGACAGTTTGGCAGCCTCTCATAAAACTAAACATATTTTTACCATATGATCCAGCAATCATGCTCCTTGGTATTTACCCAAAGAATTAAAAACTTATGTCCATATGAAAACCTTCACATGGATGTTCATAGCAGTCTTATTCATAATTGTCAAAACTTGGAAGCAACCAAGATGTCCGTCAGTGGGTGAAAGGATAAATAAACTGGGGTACATCCCAACAATGGAGTATTATTCAGCGCTAAAATGAAATGAGCCATCAGGCCATGGAAAGACATGGAAGAACATTTAATGCATATTACTAAATGAAAGAAGCCAATTCGAAAAGGTTACAATTTGTATGATTCCAACTATATGACATTCTGGAAAAGGCAAAACTATGGAGACAGTAAAAAGATTGTGGTTTCCAGGGGTTAGCGGGGAGGGAATAGAAATAGGTGAAGCAAAGAGGATTTTGGGGGCAGTGAAACTATTCTGTATGATATTATAATGGTTGATACATGTCATTTACATTTGTACAAACCTGCAGGACATACAACACTAAGAGTGAACCCTAGTGTAAACTCTGGACTTTGGGCGATAACGACATGTCAATGTAGGTTCATCAGTTGTAACAAATGTCAACTATAGTGGGGGACATTAACAGTGGGGGAGGCTGTGCGTGAGTTGGCAGCAGGGGGCATCTGAGAAATCTATGTACTTTCTCAACTTTGCTATGAACCTAAAACTGCTCTAAAGATTAAAGACTATTTTTTAAAAAAGCTATAAGGCACATGGAAAACAACAGGAAAATGGCAGAAGTCCTTCCTTATCAGTAATTACTTTAAATCTTAATGGATTGAACTCTCCGATCAGCAGGCAAAGATTGGCAGAATGCATTTTAAAAAATCATCTAAAGTGAATATCTTGTAGATAGCAACACACCGAAACTTACGAGATATGGAAAGGCAGTGCTCAGAAGAAAATTTATAGCTGTAAATGCCAACATTAAAAATAAATATCTCAAAAAAATTAAAAAATAAATATCTAAATAACCTAACTTTACACCTTGATGAACTAGAAAAAGCAAACTAAAAAAAAGCTAGCAAAAGGAAGGAAATATTAAAGACTAGAGTGAAGATAAAATAGAGAATAGAGAGAACCAGTGAAACCAAAAGTTGGTTCTTTCAAAAGATCGACTAAATTGATAAGCCTTTAGCTAGACTGACAAAGGGAAAAAAAGATGCAAATAACTAAAATCAGAAATGAAAGTGGGAAGGTTACTACCGACCTTCCAGATATAAAAAGGATTATAAGAGAATACTATGAATAATTGTTTGCTCCAAAATGGAATAACCTAGATGAAATGGACAAATTTCTAGAAACATACAAATTACCTAAACTGACTCAAGCAGAAATAAGAGTCTCATCAGACCTATAATAAGAAATTGAATCAGTAATCAAAACTTCTCAACAAAGAAAAGTCCAGGACCAGATGGCATCATTGGCAAGAAGAATTAATTTAACACCAATCCTTCTCAAGCTCTTCTAAAAAATAGAAGAGGAGGGAAACACTTTTTCATTCTATGAGACCAGCATTTCCCTGATACCAAAGCTAGAGAAAGACATCACAGGAAGAGATACAGACCAATATCTTTTATGAATATAATTGCAAAAATCCTCAACAAAATACTAGCTAAGCAAATACAATAGCACATTAAAATGATGATACACCCTAACCAAGTGAGATTTATCCTACGAGTGCAGGAGTGCTTCAACATAAGAAAATTAATCATGTTAATAGAATGAAAGAAAAAAGCATATGACCATCTCAGTTGACACAGAAAAGGCATTTGACAAAAGCCTTTTATGATAAAAACCTCTCAGAAAAATAAGAGTAGAACTTGTTCAGCATGATAAAGGGCATTTATGAAAAACCCACAGATTCAATGGTGAGACAGAAAGCTTTCTCTAATGAACAGGAACAAGACAAGGATGCCTTCTTTCACCATTGCTATTCACCATACAACTAGAAGGTCTAGCCAGAGCAATTAGACAAGGAAAAGAACAGCAGGCATCCAAATTGGAAAGGAATAAAACTACGTTTATTTTACATGATCCTATATATAGAAAATCCCAAAGAATCCATAAGAAAGCTACTAGAGCTAATAAATGAATTCAGCAAAGTTGCAGGTTACAAGAACAAAAATTAATTGTGTTTATTCACCAGCAGTGAACAATCTGAAAAAGAAATTAAGAAAGCAATTTTGGTAACCATATAGCATCAACAAGGATAAAATATCTACAAATAAATGTAACCAAGGAGGAGGAAAACTTGTATACTGAAAACTACAAAACGTTGCTGAAGTAAATAAGACCTAAATGAATGGGAATACATCTCATGTTTATAGATAGGAATGCTTAATATTGTTAAGAATTCAATACTACCCAAAGCAGTCTAAAGAGTCAACATAATTCCTTCCATAATTCAAACTTCCAAGATTTTTTTTTTTTCAGATATGGAAATGCCAATCCTCAAATCCATATGGAATTGCAAAGGGCCCCAAGTAGACAAGACAATCTTGAAAAAGAAGAAAGTTGAAGGACGCATACTCTGGATTTGAAAAACTACTACAAACCTACAATAATCAAAGAGTGTGGTACTGGCATAACGATAGACATACGGACCAATGGAATAGAACAGAGTTCAGAAATAAACCTTCACATATATAGCCAACTGATTTTTGACAAGGGCACCAAGTCCATTTGATGGGGAAAGTTGCTTTAACAGATGGTGCTGGGATAACTGGATTGTCACATACAAAAGAACGAAGTTGGACCCCATACCTCACACCATATATAAAAGTTTACTCAAAATAAATTCACAACCTAAATATAAGGGCGACAACCATAAAACTCTTAGAAGAAAATGGGGCAAATCTTCATGACCTTGGATTTGGCAATGGATTCTTAGATATGACCTCAAATCATCAGCGACAAAAGAAAAAAATATATAAATTGGACTTCATCAAAATTAAAATTTTTTGTGCATCCAAGGACATTATCAAAAAAGTAAAGAGACAACCTACAGAAGGGGAGAAAATACAATCAGTTCTCAATACTCACAATAGTTCTATAAAGTCACTGTGAACCTAAATTAGTGAATATTGAACAAATGATCCTAGGGTTAAGATCCTGGAATTTTCTGGTCATGATGTTTTCATCAGCTGATCAACACATAACTTTGTTCTATGTGCTTTTTTTGTTTGTTTATTTAAAGACACCTTATTTAATATATATGTTAAATAAATATATATATTTCTATAACCCACTTAAAAACTTGGGTAAAGGACTTGAATAGACATTTCTCCAAAGAATACAAATGGTCAACAGCCACACAAAAGATGCTCAACATTAGTCATTAGAGAAATGCAAAGCAAAACAACAATGAGAGATTACACCTACTAGGGTTGCGATAATAATTTTCAAAACTGAAAATAAAAGGTGTTGGTGAGGATGCAGAGAAATGGGAATCCTTATACGTTGCTGGTGGAATGTAAAATGGTTACATACACTGTGGAAAACAGTTTGGTCATTCTTCAAAAAGTTAAACATAGAATTACTATATGACTAAGCAGTTCCACTCCTAGATATATACCCAAAATAACTTAATATAGGAATTCAGATCATTGTTCATTGCAGTCAAAAGATAGAAATAACCCATGTCCATCCATTCACAGATGAATAAAATGTGGTATACACACACATACACACACTCACTCACTCTCTTGAGCCATAAAAAGGAATGAAGTTCTGATATATGCTACCTGAATGAACTTTAAAAACATTATGCTACATGAAATAAGCCAGACACAAAAGGACAAATGTTATATAATTCCATTTATCTGGAATATCAAGAATGAGCAAATTCATAGAAACGGCCAGTAGATTAAAGGTTCCCAAGGGCTGGGGGAGGGGAAATGGAGAGTTGTTGCTTAACTGTTACAGAGTTTCTATTTGGAATGATGAAAAAGTTTTGGAAATAGTGGTGACGGTTGTCCCACATCGTGAATATAATTAATATTATTGAATTATACACTTAAAAACAGATACAATGGTAAATTTTGTTATGTATATTTTACATTAAAAAACTCAGTTAATAAAATGGGGGGAAATCGCTGAAAACTACTAATCACTGCTAACTTTTATTTTGTATTCAAGGACACAATCAACCAGGAGAGGGTTCTTTTGCTGTCAAATAAATATATTTAAAAGCTAGCAAACATCAGAGCAGAATTAAGTTCCAAGTCTATAAAAGAGACAGGGGGTGGGAACATTACTAATAGTTATTTACAGCTATACAAAGTTAACACGCTGCAGGGAAACAAATATATTCAAAGGTTTCATACTTGTCCAATATTTGACATTTTGAATTTTGAAAACATAAAAATTATGTTTTGACAAACAAAATCAGACCACATTAGCAATGGTTTAAAAAAGGGAGCAATTTAATCATTATAATACAGAGTACTTTAAGAAGTTTTTAAACATGTAAAAGAAAGAACAGTTTAGTGCATTAAATTGTTACAGTCTTTACATTGCTTCTTTTAAAAAAAGTTAACAGTAGTATGAAAAAGCCACCCACGAAGCCAGCTGTCTGAGTGAAGAAATCAGCTAAATTGCAGCATTTTGGAATTACTAATAAAGCTATAGTTAAAAAATAAAAAGTTTATAAAAATGAAAAGCAGCATGCATATTCAAGGCTTTTTCATAACATTTTCATTAGCTGACAAACATTTAGGTAAAAACAAGAGCTTAATATTTATTATTCATTAAATTAGATAAACTGGCCAAGCCCACTACATCTGGTCATTCGGTGGGGGGTGGGGGGGAACCATTTAAAAATCCAAAGCTAATCGAACTGAATATTTCTTTTATGAAGAAAGCACATTTTGAAAAATGGTCCAATAGTCACAAAGAAAGGGTCCTTCCCAACATGAATGAACAGCACCGGTCTTTATAGATCATGAGCATGAACTTTCAGTCTCCTGATATGGCAAGAGTTAACAGTTAACGCTTCTGTGATTCATGAGTGAAAAGCTAACTTTTAACTCATTATGAGCAGTTCCAAATTTTTTTCTCCACTGACATTGTTACACAAAGTAGAATTTCACTGAAACATAATTCTTGAAAATTCCGATCTGACACCTGTACAACATTTCTGATTTCCATGATTGTAAGAAAACAGTAAGTATTTATTTACTATATAATTCTTTTTTTCACATTTTTGGTACAGTATTTATTTGAGTTTCACCCTATCTAAATTCTTACGCCAGTTTCTTTTCCTTCTTCATTATCATCTTCAGTTGAATAAAAAGTAAATTCGGCTTCTAATGAAAAATAACAGAAGTATTACAAGTAGTTATAGTGGTATCCATGAATGTATTCAAATGAAAGATACAATCGTTAAGGGCCAATAATACCATAAAATCTTATTGTTCCAACATGTGTCAATAGTCTATTTTTTCACTTACACTGAAAATGTATAAGTCCATGCACAACTTTTAATCTTCGTGCATGACTTGATAAATAAGACATAGAAATAAATCAGGATTTTCCTTTTGCCTGTTTCTAACAATTTTTACTCTGGAATATGTTTGGTCACTCAAAGCTATAAGCTTAATCACATGTCAAAGAATACAGACAATAAGGCCCATCTTACTAGACATACAGTATTAAGCTGGACAAAATATGAGGACAAGCTCTAGTGGTCATAAAACCCCTTCCGAAAGTCTTAGAATCAGAATGTCTCCATTGTATCAGAATAAAAATGTACTGTATTAAAATTTCAATTTTTACAAGTTGTTTTTTAATTAGTATTCTATTTACATTGCAGAACGTCCACCAACCGCAGTAGTTTAACTTTGGCACAACATTGAGTTCCATTTCTTTTGGGCATGGGATCCTATTTATTGAGAATGTGCATGCCCCAAAACATTTTCAGTGTCATCAAACATTGGGCCCATTCACAGTAAATCAGAAATCTTGAGTTGAAGAATTGATTCTCCTCCAACGTTTAGGCAGCTATAAGAGAAAAACATAATAAAAAACTAAAATTTTAAAGAATACCGTATGGTTTCACTTCTATGTGGAATCTAAAAACAAAACAAACAAAACAAAAACAGACTCATAGAAACAGAGACCAAAGGGATGGTCACCAGAAGGGAGGGGGTGGGAGAACGGGTGAAAGGGAGGAGGGGAATACAGTGGATAATGCTGTGATAAGTTTGCGCAGTGACACATGATTACTCGAACTAGTGGGGTGATAACATTGTAAGGTATAAAAATGTCAAATCACTACATCGTACACCTGAAATTAATATAACCAATATAGACTGTCTACCAACTATACTTTAAAAAATAAAATTAAAAATTGGAAAAAATAAATAAGGAAAATCACATTTTAATGGTTAACACTTTCAGAAACAAAAGTGATATAAATCAGCTAAGAAAACACATCCTCTGTCTTCACTGATACTGAGATCATTTGCCACATACCTCACATAGTGCACTAGATCTCTGTACAATTCCTATGTATATGTTCTGCAGATACCAGATATGCTTACAGACATTTTTTCACCTATATATAATAATTTATTAAGAATTAGGAGGAAGTACATATTTCATCATTAGTATTGGTAATAAACAGACTATGAAATCTAAAGACATATTTTTTCTATTTATATACAGCAGGTCCTCAAATAACATTGATTCGTTCAATATCATTTTATTATAACATTGATGAGATGCTGCAGGAACTTAATTCTTGCTAATGTCAATTAGCTATTGGTAAAACTGGTTTCCTTATCCATCGTTTCGATTAAAGTCACAGAACGTACCGACAATGTTAAGTGAGGACCTGCTGTACAGGATGGCTTGAGTGAAAGATATAGATGTAGAGTAGCCCCTCTTTATCCGCGGTTTCGCTTTCTATGGTTTCAGTCAGCTGTGGTCAACCACAGTCCACAAATATTGAAAGGAATAGTCCATAAATAAACAATACATAAATTTTAAATTGTGTGCCGTTTTGAGCAGCATGATGAAATCTTATGCCACCGTGCTACATCCTGCCCAGGATGTGAATCATCCCTCTGTCCAGGGAATCCATGCTGTATCTGCTACCTGCCCATCCATTTGTCACTCAGTAGCCTTCTAGGTTATCAGATCAGTTATGAGTGAGAGAGAGTGAGAAAGAGAGAGAGACAGACAGACAGACAGAGACAGAGAAACAGAGGGAGAGAGAGACAGAGACAGAGACAGACACCACATTCACATAACTTTTATTACACTATATTGTTATAATTGTTCTATTTTATTATTAGTCATTTCTGTTAATCTTACTGTGCCTAGCTTATAAATTAAACTTTATCATAGGTACGTATATATAGGGAAAAAACATAGTATGTATAGGATTTGGTACTATCCGCGGTTTGAGGGATTCACTGGGGGTCTTGGAATGTGTCCCCCATGGATAAGGGGGGGCTGCTGTCTCTAACTTTTTGCAATAACTGTTTTGAAAAGGTTTTGGTTACTTTTTTTTTTGTAAGTCAAATCATATTTAAATGAAAAAGTAACTAAAGGAAGCTTATAGTGAATCCTTTTGTAAGATAAAAATTATTTTAAGCCAATGATAACTTGTTAATTAATATATTTTATAATTTTTGACTTGTGTATATTTTAAAAGCAAGGCAAGCCTGTACACGTGCCACAAAAGTACATGTATAACATATAAGATAAAAGGTTTTGAAAACTGTGGCTTTGTGTGAATTTTCTGACTGTAGTATCCATTACAGTATTAATATATAACATAAGTTTATGTTCATCCACATAAACTTAAAGTAAGATCCAATTAAACTGTACAAAAAAAGTTCATATTATTTTTAGAAGACTGAAATTCCCTACAAAATCACTGCAGAGATCACTACAACAGCAACTTATTGAGGCAAAAAATTTGTTGATTTAATCTTGGCTGAGTACACATTCTTGTGTTTAGCAATAATAAAAAAAAAAGCCTGTTAAAAATATTTTATGCATCTGGGTTAGAAGAAAGCCAGCCCTGAAGATTTCTGACATACCAAAAGGAGGGCTTTGCTTCAGGATAAAGCTATAAAAACTATTTAATTTCTTGTGACTTACATTATGCTCTATAATGTGGAATGAGATTTATTCAAAAGTAGGTGCATTTTTAGTTTCAATTGTTTTTCTGCCTGAAAAAAAGTTAATGAAAAGAAAACTGGAAAAGGATTGCAAAGCAATAAGAATAGTGTCTGATACATATTAAGTTCTTGATAAATAATTGTTTTAACAGAAAAAAAAAACAGGGAAGAAGACGTTGGGGAATCAATGGAGCATAAAAGCAGAGTATGGGGTAGGGATGCAAAAGGCTAAGGAAATAAGTAAATATGCTCATGTGATCACGAGGCTCTGTACCTCATTTCCCTCCTTACAGTTTGACAACACTGCAGTCATTTCTAATGATGAGATGCTCTTGGACCACAAACAGACATAAACGAACATTTCATGACACCTGTATTGTTTTTAGAAAAGTACGAGTTTTATCCTGGAACATTCCAAAACCAAAAGTAAAGAATAGAACTACACTATGAATTACAAAAGTGTTAAGAATTGAAGTCTTAACTCTGATTTGCGACTATAGTTAAATTTTAATGAACCCGATCTATAAAAGAATTAAGATTTAAGGAACATGCCAAACCTATCAAATTTAAAGCATATTTACTTGCACTTTTATGACTACTGAAAGATATTTTTAACCAAATACATTATTTCTGCTGGTAGCAGGTCTATTTTATATCAAAGAATGAAAAGACATTTTAGGCAACTGATTTAATATTGAATCTGTTATTTACCTTTTGATCTACAAGACGAATAATTTATATCACAGTTTCCAAAAACAGATGCCACCTAAGCAAACACAGAATTTATATATAGCCTAAAACAAACCTTTGGCTTTTAATAGAAAAAATATTGAATAATTTTAATATATAAAGCATTTTAAACTCTAGTTAAAAGTCTAATAGTTTGGAAGGGCAATACGATGAATAAAAAAAATACCCATTTTCACCTAGTTTCCTAAAACTGAGCATTCCTCACCCCCGTTGCAAGTCTTTCCTTCGGTATACTTTTCCCCTTCTTTTTAGTTTTCGTTTTTGAATTCTTTCCTTAAATAGGCAAAAAATGAAGCTTTAGTGAAGGAGGGTTGCAAGAAATACATTTTTAGTTATCTTTAGTATTTGTGAATTTCCCCCTGCCCACCAGTCTCCCTTCTTAGAGAATGGGTGACTTTCCCTTAAAACAAAGTAAAAAAAAAAAATCCATATAAAACAATGAAAGCAGGATTAAACTCTACGTAATAAACATAACAATCGTAATAATCAGACTACACATGATAATCATATATTTCTTGGCTATCCTTGCGGCACCTAGTCCTCTTACTAAAAGAAAAACTGTTTTAGAAAAACTATCCAACGCGAAGATGACAGAAACAAAGTGACTGTTCTAAATGTGGCTGATGAACATACGCTCAGATTAAAAACTTACATTTCAGTCATCTGATTTCGAGAGCTTCCGCTTCACATGTCGAGGGGGTTCCCAAGTGTCACTGTCATCTGTTTCTTCTTCATCCTCTTCCTGATCATCGATAACTTCATCTTCCTCCTCATTTTCCTCGAATAATTCTACACCTAACTCTGATCTTCTTTGCCTCTCTGCAAACCACTCCCTGACCTGCTCATAGCCCATGTGTGATTTGTTAACAAGTTCATCGAGGTCTTGCTCATTAAGAAATTTGTGCTTCAGGTAATAATCCTTAAGGATTGCAGTTCCAGTTTTGAATTTGATGAGTGACGGTCCCCTGTCCCAGCTGTTCATTCTCTTGCCCCCTCTGGGCCGCCCGCGCGGCCGACCCCTGCCCCTTCCTTTGGGTCGGCCCCTGCCCCTTCTCCTCAGGGAAGACAGACCGTTCATGCCACTGGAGTTGGCGCTCTGATAGTAGTAGTACCATTTTAAGTTTCCATTTTTCCAAGCGTAACGGGTGTCCCCAAACCAACTAACTATGTCTGTTCTAGCAAGCCCGCTTTCTTCAGCCAACTTGTCATACTCTTCCGGCGACGGCCACTGTGTTCGGACAAACGCACTTTTGAGCATGTGCAGCTGCTCGGGTGTTTTTTTACATATCTTGCCTGAACTCCCCGACTTAGGCGCACCAGAGTCATCTCCGGGAGAAGTGTCTCCGGCTTCTTCTTTGGAACTACCTGCATTACTTTCCTCTATTTCCATTTTCTCTTCCTTTAAAGCTTTCGATTTCTTCTTCTCTGTAAACCAAGCATCGATTTCCCTTCTGGTGAGTTTGGTCTGCGCTCGTAACCTATTTAATTCTTCATCTGTAAGTACGGAGCTGTTGAGAAAGCTTGCCTGAAGGGCCCGAAGCTGCTCTGCGGTCTTCTCTTTAAACTTTTGGGGAGTAAAGTCAGGGAAAGGATTCCAGGACTGTTTATGCTGCGAGGTGACAGCAGTCGGGGATTCCGTGGTCTCGTCACTGGAGTCTATGATAATAGTGGTGGAGGAATCGTTGTTGAGATGCAAGCACTGATTACTCTTTGAATTTCTCTGGTTGTACCTCGTGTCACTGAACCATTTCTTAATCTCTCCTTTTGTCAGGCCTGTGGTTTTCATCAGTCTGATAATTTCCGAATCGTGGGGAAACTGGTTTTTAAGGTAGCTAACTTTTAATTCTGCCAGTTGCTCTTTAGTCTTTTTTGCCCGAATGCCAAACGAATCAGGGTTTGCCAGTGCGGTTTCGTGTTTGACAAGCTGAGAAGCTGGAGCTGCTGCCGCTGCTGGCTTTGTTTCTGCGACAGGCTGAGCAGCCGGGGCCTGGCTTTTCTGTACGTTGGTTTGATTTGGCACCCCTGCCACTGTCAAGGCTATAGGTGCTGTTACCGGCAAGGTGTTTGTTCCAGCTACTTGGGTAAGGACCAGGCCTGGCTGACCAACTATTTGGCATGTCTGTAAAATGGATGGTAAGCCATTACTTCCTGTGGAAATGTGTGTAGGAATAACAGTTATGGTCTGAGGTACAGTGTGTACTGTCCCGTTGAATTGCTTCCTTCTTGCCTCCTCTACTTCCTCGGGAGTCCAGCTCACACCATGTTTTAGACGTTGGGCTGAAAACCATATCTTGATCTGTTCCTCTGTGTATTTTGCTTGAGCAGAGAGAACAGTAATTTCTGACATTGTCGGGTAAGGGAATTTGTTGTAGGTGTTAAGCAAAAGGGGGTTGTTATCCAACGCAGCATTGTAGGTGGGGATGCTGTTAACGGGGATTAAGACTTTGGGAATCAAATTGGAGTTCTGCTGGGCTGACACAGCCGTTATCACCTGCGCTAGTCCAGGAAGGACTGCCGCTGGGGTGACCACTGTGCTGGCAGCGTGTGGGTGTATTCTGTTGACAACGGAAGTACTGCTATTAGATTCAGAAGCTGAAGAACTTGGACTTTCCACCGTTTCTTCATGGTCCGGTTTGACTTCGTTCTCTTTCTCTTCTGGGACATCCTCAGCTGAGTTATGATGAACTGTAATCCGTTTGTTCTCCACTTTATTTTTCATCATTTTCATGATAGGAGTTTTACTGATAGATATTCCCGAAGCAGAAGCTTCTGTAGATTCAGCTTGCTCTGAATTCTCCTCTTTAACAAAACTACCATCGAAAGTCAGATCATTTATGGTTTGTTCAAAGATTGTCTGGTTATTTCGTTTCACCATAGTCAACTTAAAATTCTCTTCTCCCGGGTGATATTTCAGATTATGCTCAGAAAGTGCATCATACCTTTTGGTAAGAAAATTGCATTCGACACAAACATAGGATGAATTTAGCACTACATTGGGATGTTCTGAATCCACGTGAAAAGTAAACATATTTAGGTCTGGAGTTTGAAAAGTACAATATTTACATTCATAGCCACCTTCAACTTTTTTATTTTGCTGATTGTCAGAGTCCACAGATTCATGAACTTCTTCATCACTTGAGATGCTCTCCGCTCTGGTGTTTTCTACAGGCGTAAGTACCGGGGGCCCTTCATCCAAATCTGATATCAACTCCAGGTCTGGATCCTGTTCACTGGCAAGAACCATGCAGGGTGTCGTTGATTTTCGCCTGCTTGCCATTCTGATGTTATGGGGACAATCTCAGTGGTGATTAAAAAGCATCGAGGCATAAAACCGTTCAGTATTCTTCATTTGAAAACAATGGCTTTTGGTTCTTCAAGTTCATCTTTGTGCTCGACAAGTCTCATTAGCAGCTTTTTCATGGTGCAATCAAGTAAAGAGCTTATTGTTGGCAGATAAAATAAATACTGTTGAACTGCTGAAATTTTTGAAGCACAACTCCAATCACCTACATCAAAATAAATTTGAAAATGTTTTTAAATGAGTGATTAGGACCTTTTTAAACAAATTACAGTTAATATTTGACTTGTATGAAGCTGTTGAATGGCTGTTATAAAAATCTAGAATAAGACTGGAACCAGAAAAAAAGTCCTCTAAGGTTCAAAATAGTGTCTCCAAGCCAACTCACTGAAGGTCATATACTGTACTCATGAGTCAGCCCCCACCCAGGCTGTTTATTTGGATTTTTCAGCCATCTATATATTGGAAAGGAAGTAGGGGTAAGAGTCGGCTTTGGCAAGCACACTATTATCAATGTGAAATGATAATCTGTTAATAAGGGAGGAACTTTAAAACTATGAAAAACAGTCAGAGATACTCAGAGGCTATGGCCATTAAGTGTGTAAGAAATTCAATCCATCGGCTATGCCCTCTTCTTCCTGCTTGTCCATTTCATCATCCCCAAAGCACGTCCAAGTATGGCACAAGTAGCAAAGATGGACTGTGAATGACCGAAGTTTCAGAAACATCATTCTCAATCATTTCCCACAATGCTACCCGAATTTGTAAAACATATCTAATCATATCAGTCTCCTGACTTAAAGTTTACGATAGGTCGCCGATACTAAAAGAATAAAGTCGAAACTCCTGAAGCCACGCAGTGGCCCGATCTCATTTTCCTGACACCTCTTTCCTTGAGCTTTAAGCACAGCAGAAACGACTGCTGCTCCAGGGACGCTCAGTGCAGGCTGCTCCTCAGGCCAGTGCACATTTGTGCACTTGGTGCGATGATCTGTCTGCCTTACAGATCAACGCCTCCTTGTACCTTGGCCTGACCCCTCCCCAGTTTATTTTCTAGTACTGACTGTATTGTAATAGAGGAATGTTACATTTCTGGCCCAGAACCTATCCAAACTCCAGGTATCCTCATTGTAGGTGTGTGGTTCATTCTTTTTTCTTCTTTTTTTAAGTAATAGCTTTGTTGAGATATAACAAAGCTCCCGAAACTCTGGATGGAGGCAAGGAACTTTTAAATTTTTAACCTAATGCTCTCCTAGCTAAACTGTCTTGGCTGTCTTCTCATTCATTTCTCTGTCCCCTTCACATACAAGCTTGGAAGCAGGGACTCGCCAAATGTTTATTAACTTGAACTACAATGAATAGAAAAACTATCCTACAAAACTCAACATACCCCGAGGGCATTGCCATAGAGAACAATAGCTGAAATTCATAAGAATGATCTTGAATCATCAAGAAAAAGTGCATTCTGTTCATATGATTACATTTTAACAATTTCGTACCCAAAATATTTAAAATTTTGATGCTAAATCCATTAAAGTTGATGTGCTTCTGAAGTTTAAACCAAATAAAAATAAATGAGTAAGTGGTCTCACTTATGCTCTACCACAAATTAAAACTATTCATTTACTAGCATAATTCTTATCCTGCCTAAATGAGGAGAAAAAAAGTTTAGTTCAAAGTTGATAAAGCAAAAGCAGGTCTTTATGAAGAGATGCACTGACTCAGCGAAGGAAGAAACATTTTTAGGAAATAGAGCTGTCCAAATAGAGAGCGCCCTGCCTTTGAAGGCGGTGATGTCCTCCTCCCTGGGATTTCTCAAATACATTATTACGCATCCCCTGGGTGGATCGAAGCAACAGATGGCAAGTCAGACTAAATGCCCCGTTCCCTAATTTCCCATATTATAAAATAAAGACCATCAGCTTAGTAATAATAGTGTCAACAGTCCAAATCAAAGATGTCATTCTTTTTTTCTTCTATAAAACATCTTTGGTATCTAAGGGAGTATAAAGAAATCTGAAATTGAAAACTATTTCTTAATTAAATGTTATAAACTAAGCTAATGCCATCTCTCTTATTCAATGCAATAGGGACACTACTATTTTTTCCAAGTGTTAGCATAGCTGTTTGATCATTTTTTTTGTCATTAGAAACAGGGAACTCCTCAAATAGCTTTAAGTAAGTGGAGGAACATGAATGACAGCACCTACATTTTTGAAAGTGAATGAAAATTGTTGAAAGGCAGGGGAGTAAGCTCTTTTGTGACTGTTATTCTCCTAGAATCTTAGATTATATTTATTTGGGTGGGGGGGGCGGGCAGATAGTAATAGCTAAAAGTCAAAGATAGAGGCTTTTCCTGAGACTGTATTTCCAGAAAGTGGCAGTTTTCAAACTTTTTGTTGTAAGCAGGGGAGCCTTTTATTCTAACAAAATTCTATGAGAAACCCTGCTGCAAAATAGATTAAAAAAAAAACAGCTGTCTGGTTAGAGACGTAAAGAGGCTAAACCACCTGCTGACCCCATCACATGGATCCCACAGTCCCTACTGCCACCACTGATGGGTTCCGAGATATGTCTGAAAGTCTTTGCCTTAAAAAAAGTAAACACTTTCAAGACGATATATCGGTTTTATCGAAAATCCTTCTCAGCTTGCCAATGCTGAGCCATGAAATTTCAGAATTAATCCAAAGAGACTTTAATGTGGACTTTCAGGTTGTTTCACTGCAGAAGGCAGGCCTGGGGCACCCAAGGGTAGAACGGAGTAGCCAGCACTAATGAGAGATACGAAGAGAAATGAGCTAAGATCTCTTTGTTGTCTTGTGCTCTCCAGCTCTTGAGTTAAACCTATTTTTTTATGTTACCTAGCATAAAAATAGAATATGCTACCAAATGATTCCTTGTACATCTCTTCTTTATAGATCACTAACTCAGAACGGTCGGTTCGTAAGAATTTAAGTAGATATAAACAAATTTTACAAGCTTAAATATTTTTTTGCTGCAACCACTGATGGGTTCTGAGATATGTCTGAAAGTCATGAAAATTAAATATTCATACATTATATATAATTTAATGTATATGCACAATTGTGCTTTTTCTTCTAAAAGCATTGGTCTTGGCAATATAATTTAAATAAGCTGCTTAAAAGAGAGGCTTTTAAAAAATGTCTTCAGTAATGCAAAAGCCTAAAAATCTGATTATCTGGGCATTAGATTGTCTCAACCTCGGGTCACTTCTATACCCAACTACATGGACTCTTTCCGCTTTCCTCTTAAAACTGTTAGCTCATGTTTTGCTAACAAACCCAGAGTCAGTATATTACTTAACATTTCTAAAGGGAAACTGTGAATCCCAAAAGAGCCTCAAGATTTGGTCCAATGGTTCAATTCTACTATAATATATAGTATATAGCCTAAAAACAGACCAAAGCACAAACAAAGGCATCTTCGGCATCATTATTATAAAGTCGTTATTTGGGGAGAACCAAGAACCTCAGTACAATCACTCTATTTTTATGAAAAAAAAAAAATCTAGGCTCGGAGGAAAAAATTCACAAAAACAATGTGATATAGGGCAAAACCACAAGTTTTACAGTCCCCGCTATCATTTGGTAGTTAGGTGACTGGAAAAGTTTCTCATTACAACTTCAGTTTTCTCACCTATAAAATCAAGATTCTTCAATTCGACAAGTTCATCCAGCAACTATTTGTTGAATGTCAACCATGTGCCAGGCATTATATTAGGCACTCGAGATACAGCAGTGACCAAGACAAATTCTCTCTGGTCTGCCAAGTACTAGCAGTTGAACAAGAAAAATAGGCAGTAAACAATTACTTAGAATAACTACGATCAATGCAATGAGAAGGCTTCAGGAACTACATGAGGACATTGCAGGGGGCTTCTAGGAAAGAAGCAGAGAAGGCTGCCCCTGGAGAAAATACTAGTGGTAGCTACCTTGGAGGCTGATCAAATTAAAATGCTTCAAACACACCGATACACAATAGGTAACTAATTGATGCTATTTTCCAATCTCTAAAAAATTCTTTTGGGGAATGAAGAAATACTATTTACTTAATATTATTCTCTTTTTCTTTCTCAATCAACTTAATCAGCTGACCAGGCACACAAACTGAATAAAAAAGCAGAAGGGTCAAAAATATGGAATTAAGAATTTCTATTTCAATTCACCTCCTTTGTCATTAAAATACAGTGGGGCTGGGACAGCAGAATAGCCATACAGAAATCACCGTTAGCTGACAGACATCCTCTATTTGAAGGTCAATTAGAAACAGAACTCAAAATCAATCTGGGGAACCTTGCACTATTTACCTGTAAGACAGGGTTAGAGTTCAATTGCACAACTGAGTAGCTAAGTGGCTTTGCAATTAAAACTCAAGTACAGTGAAGTCTGCCAATGAAGGAAAAGTTATGCTCTAAATGCATCCAGGACTGTAATCATAATTATATTTGAAAACTATTTTTAGTTAAACTTTCAGTAGAGAAATATGTTTAAAAAAATAACTGATCAAATCAATAGTTATATTGCCATTAAAAATGATAACTGAGTAGAAATAAGAAAAGTTTTTTATCCATTTACTATTAAAAATCAGAACAAAATTTGCATATTAATTATAAAATGACTATGGGAAAATATGTATGCATGTGGACAAACTAGATGAGAATATAAAAAAATGAATTTATCATGAGATTACGGGTGACATTTGTATGTGCGGTGTTTACAAGTTTTCTCTAATATTGTTAAAACATTGTTTTATTATAAAATACAACAAACAATATTTCACAGTCTTAAAATTGCAAATAGACTAAATTGTTTCTATGGTCATTTGTCTCAAGGTGGAAACAAATTTACTTTTCTATTAAGTTCAAAATCATGTGCTACATTGAGGTTTTCTCAGCGGGGGAGGGCAGGAATCCCTGACATGTATAGCTCTCAGGTGTATTCCAGACATTTTCTGGAGCTGCTGCCCCATGGTCTTAGAACCAGACTGGTTCTAAGAACCTTCAAGAGCACCCATAATCTCCAGGGTGTGATCCAGGCCAAGCCAGTTTCCATGGTTCTATCGTTCTGGCTCTTCTTGAGGGTAGGTCGCTCCTTAATGAATTCATGATTCTTAACTCATCATAATAATTACAACAAAGTATCTCTCCACAAAAGCATTTAATGAAAGCAAAATTTATTTCATTACAGTATAAAAATCTGGGGCAGTTCTAGTAGCAGTTCTTCTTATGTGGTCCAACACCGTGCCTATCAAGGTCCCAATAATATCTGCTGAAAAAACCTTTAGAATATATCTATATTGTATAGTATAACATATACTTTACTTCATTAAACACTCATTTATAGAGGAGCTATAAAGAACAACTGTGCTTGCTTTACGGTAAATTACTATCAAGGGTGAAATCCTTACTAATAAAATTACTTTAGTCATTAGAATATTAAAACATCCTTGAATATAAAACATTCTACTTATTAAAATACAGCAATAAATATTCAACAAATATTTATCAACATCTATAATTCTGTTGTAACAAATCAGTTTTATGTATGAACGGTGTATATCTAAATCTGTGAACTATGTAAGAATGAAACAAGGGAGATAAATTCATTCAAAGAATTAGTCTTGCCATGAAGTTCAGTAGAAAAGGGCACAGTTCTTGAAAAGAGAGCAAATGCAATTTTGAAGTTAGAATCATTACTTCTCTGTTCTAGGAGAAAACTGTACTTTTAAGGTGTAACATTTTTAAAGGGATTAAAATATAAGTCCTTGAGGTAATGCACTATAAAACTTAGTAGATTATTTTCATTTCTATGCTTAATGCTAAAACAAAGGTCCAAAAATGTTTAGAGTTAAGCAGAGCATACTGCATATAACTACACTGAATTTCCAAGCCTCTATTTTTTTGGCCGTCTTATACTTCAAATTAAATGATTAGCAGATAGTAGTTTATTGGTCTACTTAGCCACAAAAGCATGTTATTTTGATAAGATTTTATGTGAATAAAAACAAACTTTGCTTTTTACACCAACGTTGGGTCAAATAACAACATTTAGAATATAACTATAATTTTTATGGATCATGTTAGTTTTGACCTAGTACCAACTAAATAAAACTGTTCTTCGAGTAGCTAAAACATCAACTGAGAATCCTTTGGAATATGTATTCCATTTAGTTTCACTTCTCCCTCTCTGAGTCAGAGTTCTGTTTAGCCAGCTGAAAATACTTATTTTTACATGTCTGTATTCAAACTAAAAGTTACAAATTCACTGTAATCAAAGAATGCCTGAAATAGTAGTACGACCGAAGAATAATGGGATCAAATTAAAACAAAGGATATCTACTATGTAAACTAAAAAAAAAAAAAAAAAAAAGGGATCCAAGAGGATACTTTTTTTCATTAAAAAAAGCAAACAAAAACATTTGGCCTTTACACGCTTGAGGCATTTTTCAAAGCTAAAATGTAAAAATACTTAGAAACAACAGTCAAGTTCTTGAAAAAAATTAAATGAGAAATTTGACAACCCAAATTTGAACCCACGGCAAATGTTTTTTAAAATGACTATAATCTCAGATCATTACCTTCATGTTGCTAAAGATTAAAAAAAGAATCCCAGCTGGATGGATTTCTCCTGGCAAGCTCTGCCTCAGATTTGAGGGGTGAAATGTCTTCTAAAAGCTCTCTAGGACACTAACATTCCTACCTTCTGCTGGCATGTCCGTAGGTATGTAACATATTGAGAGTGATATACAGACTAGCACTATCATGAAATTTCCTATCTTTGTTATTAAATTCTGTATGATCCAAAAGTAATTTTCTGCTGAAAATAGTTTTCCCCTACTTTTCTCAAGGAGGTGTGTTAAGTCTTTCACAGTCTAACACAAAAATGCTATTCTTGATTCCAAGTGAGATTATCACTGAGAGGCTGAAAAACCATTCATCTGTCCGTTATCTTCCCCCTTTATAAAATAAAGTAACTGTTACCTATTTCACTCAAAATATAATCATTTTTAAAAAAACCTTAACACTTTGAAAGATAACAGCAAGTAGATTGGTAATGTCAACTTGTGGACTCATCAATTTTTACAAAATGAAAGTGAACCACCATATTAATGGTTATATAATCTTTCTGAGTTCTTTCTGAAATCATCAAAAATAACAACTGGACTAAAGTATAAATATTTCAAACAGTATAGTTTGTCCATCTAATGCTTCTTATAAAAGCCAATAAAAATCAGGTAAATAAAATATAAAAGTAAATACATAACATATTCAAATATTTAAATAATGGGATGCTTAGCCTAAATCAAAGTAATTAACTATTAATATCCTAATTTCATAATTATACTTAATTATTACTAGTAGACTATATATTGAAAATATATTTCTAGGAATTGTTCTTGAAGCATTTTTCTGGATATAGGCAACTCCCTCACTCATCCCTGTGCCCTGCCCTCACTGCTCCCGGGCCTAGGGGGCACCTTCATTTGTCTTTATCACTGTCGCCACAGCACCCAGTATAGTGCCTGACCCACAACGGGTTTCCGCAAATACCAACTGAAAAATCAATTATAAATATACTACACTGATTTACTATGAAGTGTGATGCTGTTTCCTTTGAAATGAAAAGCAGCCAATACTCTTATACTTTTAAAATTTGAAGGTACATTTCTCTATCAAGTGTTAGGAATATATCTATTGCTTTTTTAAGAAAAGCTTTTAAAACTTTGCCAAATATAGCATCATGGGATCTAAAGTGAGCATGTTCAGTATCTGAGTTTTACCTTACCAGAACAACCAACACATACTTGCCATAGCTTCCTCAGCATTCTGTTCGTTGACACGGAAGGGTATCCCTTCAAACTAGGAGGTGTTTAGCTCAGGCCATCATTACCAGCAGGTCCCAAGTACCTATCTGCCATCTCCTACAAAAAAAGTAATATCACTTTATTAGTCTATATATGACTTGGCCTTAGTTAGGAAACTTTAAAGTTTATGCCTTGGCTTTTTAAAAATAAATGTAATTTTGAAAAAAAAATTTTACTTCCTCATAGAAACTTTGAATCATCCAAATGCCAAACCCAATATTAGTAAAAAACATAAAAAATTGAAAACTACACTTTAAAAAATTCTATTTATATTATGTAAAACAACCAAGTCACTATTATACTATTTTCAATAAAAAATTTTCAAAATGTGAATATACGCAGAACATCATAAGAAAGCTAAGAAATTGGGAATTGTAAAAAATTACCACACAAAAGTTACAAAAGACAACTTAGTTAAGCTGAGTTGTTTTCTGTTTACATAAACCTGCTGATATCTGTATCCTAATTTACTACGTATTAATTTGAATGCAGTGGATTATTATTAATGCTGGCAACAAGCCCATACTACTGAAATAAACTAGTAGTACTCTACCCCTAAAACATGCGGTATCTAATAAAATGACTGATGTTTCACTATTTTGTTTTTTGCAAGAAAGCTACTAACAAATGGCCTTTCAATCAGTGCATTGTGAAAAATTAAACTGAACAAGCAAACAAACCGAAAATCATTCTCCAAAAACTCAAATTTGTGTCTAAAAGTGTGGTTTATTACTCAGAGTTAAACCAATCGGGAAAATTTAATAAAAATTATAACTGTTTCCCTTATTAAATAACAGTAAATAATGCTTTTAAAGTGTCGAAGCATTTTTGTTGCTCTTTAAACACTGAAACTCTGTAAACCATAGTGCATGAATATTAAGGAAGATGACTTCCCCCCAAAACTTTATCCTTTGTTCCTGCTGTTATTACATACAAGTTCACAAAGAGCCCTCTTAAGTGAAGAAACAATGCAAATACATCAGTCCTTTAGTGAAATACTTCTAGGCTAAGTTAAAGCTTAGGTTGAATAGTTACACTATTTTCACGAAAAGCATAAAAGCATTTTCCTGGTAGGCACAGTGGTGCATCCCGTTATATCTGCAGCCCGGGATTCTACAACTTCATTTCCTGGTATCTCCTTGTTCCACCACTCCTTGGCCATCCATCTACAGGATGTGGACTAGAAGAGAAGATAGCAAACAGCTGCCAAACAGGGGAGGTTATTTTCCAAAATGAATTATTAATATTATAGGAAATTGGTAACCCCTTGAATCCATTCTTAAATCACACAGTAATTGCAAGATGTTTTACTGAATGAGAGTCTCTTGAGAAGAGCTGCCCAGACATACATGTAAAGGCACAAGACAAACTAGAGGCGCAACGAACGGGCTCCTCAATGCTTCTGGATGAAAAGCGTACTTGTTTGACGTTATTTCAGTTCCTGATACTGGGATTACTTTAGAACACTTCTCTCTAATTCACAGTATCTTTTTAAAATTTAGGATTAGACTGAACTTCAAATTAAAGACGTCATTTTAACCATGTACATTTTATAATAAAACAGATGAGCTGTTTTGGCTGTAAAAGATGGATTGTAAATAAAGATGAAGAGCCTGGGCTATGGAACCAGACCGCATGGGTTCACATTCCAGCTGTCATTTAATAGCTGTGTGTCTTTAGATGAGTGACTAAGCCTGCCTGTGCCATAGACTTCTTGTCTGTAAATGCGGCTATGATAGTACCTGCTTAACAGGGTGCTGTGAGGACTGAAATAAATAACACATGTAAAGTGTTTGGAATATTTCTTGGCACTTAGTAAGTCCACAATTAGATTTTTCTTTTATTCAAGGTATTTAACTTGTACAGCAAAGGAAGTCTTCGCTTAAAATTTGTTAAATGTTGAAACAATATCAAATATTTTAAAAGTCCAGGCAGTAATCAATTTTATGTTCCATTTCATACCTTTGAGCACATTAAGCAAAGCTAGAACAAGCTGGCTTTAACAGGTAGACATTAATCAATTATAATTTACACCCCCTCCCCAACATTCTCTGACCTTAGCTTCAAGATAAATCATTTGTCTATGACACATTTTAAGGGGTGTTTCATAAAACTAACAAACCTCTTATATAAACATTATTGTAGTAATGAAGAGAATTGTTCTTTCTCACCCCTCCTCACTCCCAAGTACAGTCCATGCCCAGCAAAGTTTCAACACTCTTCTTTATGACAATATTGGAAGGTAAAAGGAAACGAACTAAGTAGAATAAAAATGTAATTATGAGTGAAATGCTTAGAAACATCAGAATCTTTCTATCTCCTTCCATGCCTCACAACAACCAAAAATGAGAAAGAAAGAAAGACCTTTAGGAAGGAGAACAAGAGAGTCAGAAATCCTATGGGAAATATGAAATCACTAAAATTTAGTAACAAAGTTGTTATTTTATTTAAAATTATAAATATGCACATGATATGTCCACCACTTTAATGTTTTAATTTTTAAAATAAGTTTTGACAATGTGATTTTCTAAAAATTTAAGTCTAAAAGCTGAAAACAAAAATCTTGCATAAAAAATGAGTTAGTCAATTTTGCTTCCCTTGAATAAATGCCATTCTTAAACTACACACGTATACTCCTTTTCCAAAGTATATCATCATATTTGTTTAGGCCAAAGGTATATAAGACCATTTTTATACATCTTAAATACATTACGGAATACTGATTATATAAACTACAAAGATTAAGTATTCTTTAAGACCGAAACCTGTCAACTACATTAAAAATTACATATATATTCATTTTAAAAATTAACTGTATAAAATACAGATCTCCAAAATGTAAACTCAAATATATATCTTGATTAGTAATCTAAATCAGCAACTTCAGTCATGCAACTCTGGTGATTCATGGCTACAAATATATCAAAACAACAAGGATATAATAAAATATATCAGCAATATTATGAAAACATTGGCTATTATTCAAAGGCTGGTATCATAGTTTTTTCCCTTCAAAGAAATGTAATTTAAATTACCTTTGAAATTACATAGGTTGATTTAAAGAATTTTAAGTTAAAAAAATTTAGACGTAAAAGTGAACATGCTATATACTGGCTATTGCCATAAATAGTGCAGTAGATATTTCCAAACCCCTCCCTGGATTTATTGAAATGATACATGATTAGAAACCAGCTTAGGCACTTAACTTTCAATACTGTTAATGTTCAAATAAATAGAGTCTTTTGAGCCCAAATCCACAATGTGTCCATAAAAAGGTTATTTCCTCAGCTATATCTATAATTATTTTCATAAATTTAAGAGTACTTTCATTTAAGTATAAAGCTATAATTTAAAGTACACTAGTCCAAAATATCACATTATTGTGCCCAACATTACAAAAAAGAAAATGTATAATATATCATAACATCACCTGTCTTAATGTGAAATATAAAACAAAAGGGAGAAACTCTCCAAAATTAACCATCTCACCTATTAAATTCATCAATAATTATAAAACTTTATTCATATTTTTTAAAAAAGAACTTGTAATGCAAATATCATTAAAAGTTAAATAAATGCTACATCATTCATGAACTGTCCTCCAAATTCTGTGAAATAATCAGCTTGCTAAAAGGGAAAGACATCTACTAATGAGCGTTCACAGCACAGGCACATTTATGTTTTCAGCCTTAGCATATTTTCAAACCATCTGGCATCAATGTCACTCTGGTTCACCCCGCCTAATCTGCTCAGAATTGAATATAAAACTAAAGCTACATGTGCTTTGGGGAAACCAAAGAACAGCACACATGTAAAATAATGTTCCAAATGTGCAGCTCTAAACTAGTTTATACTTGAAATGTGTTTTAAAAAACATTTCCACTGAAGATGTTAAAGCTCTTTTAAAAATAGTAGACTGGTTCAAGAAATCTGTATGAATCATAGCTGTCATCAGTTACCCGAGTCTTAATTCTTTTTTCCTCATTTTCATCTTGATCATTAAATAAAGCATTTGAAGAGGTTCTTCTACAAAAAGATTCATTGATACATGAAATGTTATCATTTCTATATTGAAAGCATCCAAGAATTTACATTTTATTTTGCATAAAATTAGTCTGCTTAGCCCTAAAATGCTTAGAGTAAGGAGGGAAAAATGAGAAAAAAATATTATGAAAGCCCTTTTTCTTTTACATTCTGTTACTACATTATTGTTTTTGGCAGCACTCACATTTCTTTTGCTTAAAATCTAGATTCTGAATTCCTACTTAAGAAATAATAATAATTTAAAAAATCTATGGCTATACTAGGGCTAATATCCCTCTTAGAACCAACTCCCATTCATCCTCACTGCTGGCATAAAAACAAACGACCTTTTCAGGATAATTTTTCAGAAGCAAAGATAATTCATGAAACACAAGTTGAAGCTTTCAGACAAAGACTGAGAAACAATGACCAATACCAACAAATCTAAAGGTGCATTTATGTAGGTACCTACACACATACACTCCAAGCCAGCAAATAGTCGCTATTCTTAAGGGAAAGCTGCTTGCTTCTTCCTTCCTAACTGTGAACCACTCTATTTCCCAATCCTGTGATTTTCCCTTTTCAGCTATCCTCTTCATCTCCAAGAGAACTGTTTCTTCCTTTCAAGTTACACGGAATTCCAACCTAATCACAATATGATTTCCCCATCAGTTAGCCTTTCCTTACATTTCCCCCACCCCCGCCGCAAAAATTAGCCTCTTATGTTGTTTTTCTTTAGAGCTGGAGTGAGATGACAGAACAGTGCTGTAGAATTCCCGCTCTGCCCAATCTCTTCCCTATAGTCCTCTTCTATGCATCCCTTTCCCGCTTCCTAATTCTCCTACCCGAGTCTCTCACTCAGGTCTTGCCAGAGCTCGATCCTTCACTAACCTAAGCTAAGGATATCGAAGGGTACCTGTTCCTTCTCCGAGGTTTTGCTCTTTCCTGACTGTTATCCACAGGGGGGGCGGGGGGGGGGGGCACGTATTATAACAAAGAATTTCAAGTCCCTTTACCAAGAACTTTGGTGGAAATATACAGGGACAGGGCATCCCCTAGAGCTCTTCGTTCCTGCCATTAGACCCGCTTCCTCTGCCATCTCCGTCCACCCTTCCTTTCCCGCAAGAATTAGATTGCTCTCTTTAGGCCCTAGGCTTGGAGTAGTCAGTCCCTGGTCAGCCTCCCCATCTCCCTCCTCCAAGGGACCGATAACATTTCCATTCTCTGTAATTAACTTCACCCTAAGTCCCAGGGCTTCCTCAAAACGTAATATAGTTCTTAAGGACTCAACTCTGAGTCTCGTCCCGAAGTGGGGGTACGGCCTGGCCCCGAAGTGGGTGCCCAGCCTTCTCCGAAGTAAGGTACAGCTTTCCCCGAATTGTTTCCCGGGGCTCCAATCCCAATGCCAGTGCGCTCAGCTCCAGCAAGAGACTCTCCTTACTTTCTCCACGAGGCCACACGCCCCTGCACGGCAGGAATCCCGATCTCCCCCTAGGACCCTCTGGAGTCCTCCATTCCTGCGGCGTTCCCCCCCAATTCCCGGACACCCAGGTTTTCACTCCCCTCAAGGACCCCAAGTTGTTCAGTCCTCCCGTAGGCAGGGGGTAGGCTGAGATTTTCCCTTACAGAGCCCACCCCCCAGCTCCTTCCTCGGCCACCGAGACCCCAAACGCGCGAAGGAGGCTAAGGGTCGGTCCCCCGGCAGCGATGCCGCCTCAGGCAGGCCCGATCCCTCCCCCTCGGACCCCCCGCGCGGGGTCTGCCCCGCCACCCA